AGCACATCCTCTCGCCTCCAGGGGACTTCTCAGCACATCCACTGAGGGTTAAAGTCCGACCATGACAACAAAAAACAAAAACACCCGAGCTCACTGCCACGGGGTTAACGCTTCTTACGCAGAGGCACTGGGAAAGGGCTGTTTGCTGACATGCATCTGAGAGGGAAGCAGATCCAAAGGAGGGGTGTGGGGGGCCAGGAGGGAGAGACATCCCCGAGCCACTGCCTGCAGGGCTGGCATTCAGGGACTGTCCCATCAAAAGCCAGAGCCCGGCCCGCCCTTGCCTCGCCTACCTGCCTGCCCACTTTGGCTCCAAGAATGAAGCGGGTCGCCCTGCTCAGAGGGGGCGCTCAGTCACCAGCAGAGACAGGCAGGGCACTAGGCCTGTTTGCAGGGGGAGTGGAGGGAGGCGTGTTACAAGGAAAGAAGACATTGGGGGTGTCGAATGAAAGGGGCCAATGAAAGGCCCAGGCCAGCTCTGTGAGTAGGTGCTCCTGGCCCTCCCTCGCTTCCCCTGCCCCACCACGTCCAGTCTGTCCATCTGAACCCCCCACCCCCTCACATCCCAGGTGTCTGCTGAGGGCCCGGCCTGCCCCCACCTGGCACCTCACAGCCCAATGAAAGGGAAGCTGCTGTCGGAGGGGAGCAGAGCGAGGGCCAAAGGGCCTCTTTCTTTTCAAAGATTTTCGTTTGTGATGGGCAATTTTTCCCCTCCCCCCCCAGGTGATCTTATTTCAAAGGCCCTTTGAAAATTGTGTGGGTTTTGTGATGGATGAAAAGTTACTTGGAAATGGGGACTAAGAAGCTTTCTGTTGAAAGTTGGTAGAGGGATGTGAAGGCCTTTGATTTGCAAGGTTCAGCCAGATTTATCATCCCTTTTGTCCATGAGGCCCATCACATTGGGAGGGGGCTTGGAGGAAGGGGACGGGGAGAGAGGCCTGGGCCTGTGTGAAACCCAGCCCCCTCTGTGGCTGCTTTACGTTTGCAAGGGAGGCCATCTGCGCAGAACTCTTGGCCAAAAAAAAAAATGTCCCCAAGACGGAGACTTTGATGTTGGAAATGGGGGGTGGGGGTGGGTGGGCGGTGACCAAATGTACTCTCAGGGTGCTTTAGGAGACTAGGTCCTATTGAAGGCCCTGGCTACTGCACAGGTGTTTCCTATCAGAAAAATCATGTGAAGGAGGGGGGCAGGGGTGGCCTGGCCTGAGGCCTGGGGTCTGAAATCTCCGCGGGCGGCCTGGAAGCGGAGAGGCCAGGGAGCAGCAGGGCGAAGCGGCCCTGGATGACATTTGAGAAGAACCCGGAAAGGCTCGGTTTCAAAAACTAAAGGGGATGGAGGTTTGAAAAGGAGCCATCAGAGAGAGAAGGCGGAGAAATGCCACTGGGTTCGGTGGGAGGAGGTGGTTGTTCATGCAGAGGTTCTGGGGTGGGGATGGTTAAAGAGTGAGGGGTAACAGGAGTGGAAAATAGCTCATCCGAACCCCATGGCCTGGACAGCCGTGGAGGGAATACTGGGGTGACCGAGAGATTCTAGGGTGGCAGATGGAGGGTGGGGGGCAGTTGTGTCCCAGGGTGGAGGAACTGAGGGAGATGGAGGGGTTGCTACAGAGGAAGGAGACTTGCAGGAGGAGCCCTTGAACACCCTGTCAGCAGACAGATGGGTGGAGGTGACAGGCCTGCAACGCTGGCCTGAGACAGGCAGCTGGTCCCCCTGCACTGAGACGTGCCAGTGGGATCAGGGACCAAGTCGGAGGCGGATCAGCGTCTAGGGGTTCTGAGGGAACGAGAGCCATGATGGAGGCCCAGTTAGTCTGGCTCCTCTCCAATATGCCAGCCATGCCACGCTAAGCTGGGGACACAGGGGGCTCCGGGATGCCCCTGTGGGCACTTAGGGAAGAGCACTAAGTGTTAACCCCAACAGGGTGGTGGGCCACCACCTTGTGGTTGCAAAGACCACTCATGGGACTGTGGACTATAGCAAGGGTCTGGTCTTAGGCTAGAATAGATGTGCTAGAGTTCTAAGTGGGCCACTCTAACCACCACGGAGAGTCCCTGGGCATCGTGATTGTCACCCGTGAAAAGAAGGGTCAAGCACAGACTTCCTGTGGAGGTACGGCGCCTACTCCCAGCACGACAGAGGGTGGCCATGCAGCCCCAGGCTATCTGTGCCCAGCACCCGTTTATGGTCAGCGCTTCTTACTGTGGTGTCTCTAGGACAGAAAGGGCACCAGGAGGGGTCCAGTGACTTCAACTTCAAATATTCACGCAGGATCCTCAGAGCAGGACGCCAAGCCTGGGACTGTCGGGCAAGAGCAGGTCCAGCCCAACACACCTGCCTCCCCCCAGTCTTACACTGGGGGGGTTCTCCCTTTTTCCCCAGGGGCTTCCTCATCACATCTTCTGCCACCACCGTCTCCCCAGCCGGATCACTTACCCTCCAAAGACATCGTTGTATTCCGTAATACCATCGGAATTTGAATATATATTTAAGACGACAAGATTGAAAATTAAAATTTAAATAAAGAATGACTTTTCTGTGAGTTGCTCCAAAAGCGGTAATTTAGCAGCAAATTGACAGAGAAAGGTAAGCACTGGTCCTTCAGAGCTCCGTGCCGTTGCCGGCATACGAGCCAGAAGCGTCTCAATTTAACACATCATTGGTTAGTATTATTGGAAATTTCAGCAGACTCGGTAGCACGTTGCGGCAGGGCACCGAAGGGGAGGCTGGGCTGAGGGCCCAGTCCAGGGAGCCAGAGACCCAACACCACCACCCTCTCTCCTACCTCCCTAATCGGACCTCGAACTGCAGCTACTACTGTCTGGTTTGTAGTTCATAGCAATCTGGAAATGAGAACAGAGACATGCAAATGTCATTTACCACACATTTTCAGCCCTGGTCTCTGACCCCTCAAAGCACAGGCTGAGAACAGGGTCCAAGAAGGTGGCCACACCAAGGAGTGGGCTCCCCTGAGCCACAGTCGTAAGACCCGAAAATCTCCAAGCAACTTGTAGCACCTGTGCGCCCCCTCTCTAGACACAGAGAGCCGCCGTGGAAAACCTCAGCATCTTCGTTGACCCTCAGCGGCCCACCTGCACCAGCGTCACCTTGGAGGCTCATGGCAAGGCCCCTTTGGGGGCAATCCCCCGAAGCCTCCTGAATCAGAACTTCTGGGAGACAAGGGTTAACACCCACATCCTCACCAGGTTCTTCCCCCAACCCCCTTTTTTCAATGGTGGTGAAATACACCTGGCGAGAGCCATTTGCAATTTGTTCTAGTCTTTATGATTTCCTGCTTGCTTTTCGAGTGGAGTTGTTCTCTGTTCTATTTCATTATGGTGGGGTGGGTTATCGGGTTTGTATGTTTTTCTGTATATGAAATCCCGGATGGGTGGATCTGTAGAGCCAGTCACTGGATGGGTGATTTCTGGCAGGCCATGGCCGGGGAGGCTGGGGGAGACGTAGGGGGGCAATGGGGTGCTCATAATGAGGACAGGAAAGAAGGGAATGCTCTGGAATTGATGGCTGTGATGGCTATACCCTTCTTTTTAAGATGTTTGAACTGCTGTGTTATATGGCCTGGGACTTGGATGTCAATAAAACGGTTAAAATCTCCTTAAGAGGAACACACCTGCCGAAACATTGGCCCCCTCCGGCCAGCTTTGCTTGTACAATTCGACATCCTCCACCTTCACCCGGTGGTGCAGGCATCACAGCTGCGTTTCCAGTTTTTTAAAATGGGGTTTTTCTTTTTTTCTGCCCCCTTGTAACAGAAACTCATTCCCCTTAAGTTATAGCCCTCCGGCAACCACAAAGAGCCCTTGTTCACTGTGCATTTGCCTCCTGTGTGTGTTTCATCAAAGGGTGGTGTGCACTGCTCTTCCTTGGTGTCCCTGCCCAGGGCTGAGGAGCAAGACCCTGGAACTGGCCGGATGCTGCCACCTGGACTCCAGCGCTCTCGCCCACGGAATATCACTTCTTGCAGTCTTACCTGTGAACCCCGGAACGATCCTCTCAAACAGGCTTGGAAGTCTCCCCTCCCCATGTCTGACCCCCCCCCATTAGCATACTATGCCTTTAAAGCCAAACCCCCTCCTTTGGTTTCCCCTTGGTTGGAGCCCCAGTTGGCCAGCTCACTGCAAGGTCAGCAGTTCTAACCCATGAGCTGCTCTGCGGGAGAAAGATGAGGCTTTCTGCTCCTGTAAAGAGTCCCCGCCGCAGAAACCCACGGGGGCAGTTCTGCCCACACTGTAGGGTCCCAGTGAGCCACACAGTGGGTACGGGGGCAGCTCTGCCCGCACTGTAGGGTCCCGGTGAGCCACACAGTGGGTACGGGGGCAG